AGATTTTTCTAGTTACTTATTATTTTACTAGTTACTATATATAAATCTAGCTAGAAGCTAAGTAAGCTACTTTATAAAGTAGTAGTAAGGTTATTAAACTAGATTAATAGCTATTAGTAGTTAGGTAAATTAACTTATACTAATTTACTATAGGCTATATTCTATTTATTAAGCTATATAGTAAGATCTTTTTTAGTAGTTAAGGCCTTTTACTAGGCTTTTACTAACACTTTACTATATTTATTATAGGCGTATTTTATATACTCTTCTTTAGTTATTCTTACTACTACGCTAGGCTTATTAAGCTATTTAGCTAGTAATTTATTAGATTTATAATATCTTTCTTAAAAATCTATAGATATAGTAGATTTAATTATATTAGCTATATCTTTAATATTTTTTTACTAAGTAGTATACTTACGTACTTCCTTATAATAGTAGCTTATCCTACTATTTAAGTATATAAGATTATATAAGTTAAGATTATCTAGTGTTATTATATATTTAGTTTTATATATAAGCCTATTAGGTATAGCTATAATAGCCTTACTTCTTACTATATATAGCTATATAGTTACTTACTAGAATATCCTAGTAATTACTATAGCTATAGTAACCTCTTAGTAAGTAGTAAGCTTATCCTTAGTTAAGGCGTATAGATATTACGTTATAAGCAGCTTTATTAGTTTTTTTAGATATATCTTAAGGATTAATTAGTCTGCTGCTATAACCTCTAGGTTAATATACTCCTAGAGATTATAACGCTTTACTTTTACTTAGATAGCGTTAAGCTATATAAACTAATTACTATATAATTATAAGATAGTTACCTTATTATTATAGTTCTTATTAATTATTATAATAGTATTTAATTAGTAAATAGGTATATTAGTTATTATAGACATACGTATTAGACTATTAATTATTAAATTATAGGGATTATAATAGTTACTTAATTAATTCTGTTATATGTTATATATCTATAGTAAATTACTATAGAAATAAGGAAAACCCCCTATTTCTTGGTTAGGAAATCCCCGGCCAATCCTAGCGATATTATTGGTGAATTGGCCCCGAAAGTGGGGCCAATTCACCGCCCATTCCCCGACGATTCGCCGTAGGGCAACCGTGCATTCGCCGGTTAATTCACGTGTAATTCCGCCACATTTGACAACTTTTTAAAAAGAAAATAAAAGTATTACTAAGTATTAAAAAATAGGTTTAGTCTAAACTATATTTCTATACATATTTATATACACTATATAGGCTAGTATATATATATATATATATACTTTAGCTACACTTAAAAGTCCTTAACACTTGTATTAAGTTTATATTTTTTTTGTTAACTCTCTGCACATTGCGCTTAGTTATCGCTTAGTTAGCACACCTATTCAACACTACGCGCATAAGGCGCACACTGTAGAATAACCTCCTTTTCCCCTTATCTTAGATTAATTATATCAAGTTGCTATACACCTGTTAGAAGGTAGTGCCAGCCCTTTACAACATCTATAAAAGTATATATAAAAGATGTATAGGGTTAGTAGTTAGGGTCTAGGTTAGTCAGTCATATTAGTGTAGTAGTATATACTATTTAGGTGTACTATAGTAGTAGTAGCTAGAGGGCTGTTAAAACACTAAAAGGGGTTTGTTAACTTACTAGCAACTAAACTAAGGAGTTTTTAACTTTACATAACTATTATAGGCCTGTAGGGAATCTAATGGTCTGATTAGCTAGGTAGGCAAGCGGGTGCCAAAAAAAAAACCCGCACTCAGTAAAGTTAACTTAAGGTGACCTGTGCCTTGGGGATCTCCAGTATGTTAGGGAGTTACATAACGAAAGAATACCTATACACCCTATATTTTAGCGTATGGGGACTCAAATTGACCTCTGTAATTTGTGAGTGCGGCTTATTTTGTCACCCGCCTGGTAGGTTAGAATGCTGTTGTAGGCTTTTTTTTGCTGGCGCTAACATAATAATTTTCTAAAATAGGCTTAAATTATTGTCAGACTACTAAAAGCACACTAGCATTTTACTGGCAACCGTAGATTTATGAAACCAAACGCCTGAGAGCGGAGTCGCGAAGTTGATCTAAGCAAACGGCGTTCTTACGCGGCGATCTGCGGTGATGGATCTGGGGGCGGAGACGTCCACACGGGCTAGCGTCTCTTGGACCTGTGGCCAATGGGTGAGAGAAAGAGCATTAATGCTTGTCGTCCTCACCGTGCGACGCGGTGGGGAACGCCGACTGCTCGTAATTATCCTCCATAAACGTTTCGTTTCGTTGGTGCTGACAGCAGCAGCTCTCCTGATTAGGCAACTCAAATCCTCTATTACCTGCGTGTTGTATATGTGCCGATAAGTGAGCGGCGGAGGACAGCCAAGGAGGCACAATTGTAATTCCGTACGGATGGACGCTGTCGGAGCTTACCTAGAAGCTTATCATTGGATATCTGTAGTGACACCACAAATTTTGCCCAAGAATCCTGACCAGCGGTTTAACTGGCTCAATGGGTATGGCGGAGCCGACCGAAGCTGAAAACCCAAAAGGTATGGCACTTTTGTCGTTGGTAGGCTAGGTATCCGTACTCTAACGACGACGCACGCGGTCATTGGCTGGATTGGGTGCAAAGATACGACGGGTACTTCCAGCGTCCTGACAGGCTGAGCAACCCTGCTCATCTTCCCCGGCTGCGTGGGGCACGTCCTGCTGTCCTATGCCGTGCCCTAAGATACCTGGCACATGGCGACTGGAAAGTTGCCGCCAAGATAACCTATGCTTGTGCCGCGTGCGTATATCGCGTGGCAAGCCGATATCAGGCTCGTGTTCTTAGGAACTTTAGAGCTTGGCTTGCCATATTTTGGCTTCTCGGCCCCTATCTGGTGTACTGGATAATATCATGGTAATCTAAAGGGATACTTCTTTCCTGCGCAGTCTATCATTGCCGCATGCGACGCCCGGATCATTTGTCTGGCCAGACCATCCCTTCATTGGAGTCGCTTGCGAAATACTACGATTCAGATGGCAGGCCAAGCTGACAACTTCGAGGGTTCATCCAGTCTCACTACAGACTGTGCGCGCAATGCGAACCGTGGCTCTTGGTTACAAGGTACAAGGTACGGACCTACCGGTAGCTATGCAACCTATCAAGAGACTGACTCTGCCTTGGATACGTACCTAAGTCCCCCTCTATCATTGATCTTACCACCCTCCATCACTGGGCTTACATAGATAGTACGGAAACTGAGCAAGAATCGGTCTACAGGAATGTTCTAAGGCTATGGTGACCCCGGCGCGGTTGTCTCTGGCTCCCGGCTTTCCCGATGCCCGTTTGATCCATGGCGCTGGTAGCGCTGTGGTGGCTGATGCAGCCATTCCCAATCAGCTTCAATCTTCCGTATATTTTCCTGTCTCCCTGACGGGTCGGGGGTCACTTCGTGCGTTTCTTAGGGCCTTGGTGTCTCGGCCCCTTCGCCACAAATACGCCCAGCAGAGCGGAAAGATTTTCAATACCCCTTCATCGCACAAGCCTGAAGCCCGGTCTTGAACCTATCAGCGGTCTCTGTTGCTCTTCACTTGAGGAATGGACGCCGTCCTCTGAGCATCTTTTGTCCAGTTTTATTGGCGGCTTCTACTTGACAATGATCCTAGCAAGAAGATACTCATGGGCCATGATTCGTGCGCACCCTGCCCATGGCTTTTTGTTTTAGGCGGGCAACCAATGGCACCTGTCCAACGATGCCGGCACCCGTATGCTTACACCCTCGCCTACTGGTGTGGAGGTTCACTATGGTAAGGGAACCCTGCAGTTTTGCTAGACTGGCTCTTCCACGTCCAGTCTCGTCTCTCCAATTTCGGTTGACTCCACTGCAAGTCCACGTCGTTCCATCAACCTTCCAGAAGCGGAAGCGCGCCGTTAGTTTTGCCACCGATATCAACAGCTAAAGGTCTTGGTCCGGGCCTGCGAGAGAGTCCGTGCTGTTGGCCGCACCAGATAATCCTGGTCAATTGTGAAAAAAAAAGTAATACATGTATTTCAATCGTGAAGGGAGGAGATAAAAAGCCCACTCCTTATCGCAATACGCCGGGAAACGATTGAAGGGATCCCGGAATTAGTGTAGACTTTACTCTCTGGGTATCCCATCCGGTACTCTAACTCCCTTGAATGCGTGACAGTGGGGGGCATGCAAGACACGATCAGAAAAGCACCACCTATGCTTTCTTCAGGCTTCTTCCATCCAGAATAGGCACACGTTCTCAAAGGCCGAAGAGAGCCGAAAAGAGCCGCTGTAAGATAATGCATAGAGTGATTTGGTAAGCTGAGTGGACGCAAGTTTGTCACCCAAGGTTGCGCAGCCATGAAGAGAGAAAAGGACCGAAAAACTTGCTGCTGGTTCGTTCTCGGAAGATGTCGTTATCTCCAGTTCCCCAGCGCCCAGATTCCCACACACCCCCGGCCTTCCAACCCTGGTGTAGCCATTTCCTGACAATCCCGCGCCCCGTGAACCCTGTCCCCAACCCGCGTCCCTGTTGGCTGCGTGGCCGTTCAGAATCTGGGCCAACCGCCAAGATGGGCACTTAACCGCGTGAAGGGTTCCTCCACACCAAAAGGACGGCGAACTCCATCCCCCCATACCCCCCGGCTGAGTGCTGATAAGCTCGACAAGTCGTAGGCATGGTTTGCGGTACAGATAACGTGTCGAACGTAGCCTCGGCACTACTTTCGGTGTCCTGGAATGTCGCACTGAAGTTGTTAAAAAGGCCCTCCTCCCCATGGACGCGTAATTAACAGGGACTGCGTCTCGAGGTTCTCGTCTGTGTCGCGCAGCTCCCCTCTCCTCGAGTTCCTCACCGTCGACCCTTTTTCCGCAACCACAGGGCACGTTCAAGTGTGCAACCCACGGCACTATTGGCAGATTCTCGAAGAATTCATTGTCGATTCTTCCAAGAAGCTTCCTCTTCGTCCGTCGGCGTGCCCCGAAATCTCGTCAGTTATGGCTTCTCAGGTGACCGAGGTTGGTCAGACCAACACCTCCAGTGGCAGCACGCCACCCCGCCGCAACTCGGACCCGGCGCTGGAGATCAACAACCAACACCATCACCAACATCTGCACCACAGCGACCGCGTAGATGCCAAGGGTCACGAGGACAACGTGACCTACGCACGAACCGGCGACTCAACAGTCCCGCACCAGAGCCACTCCCATGACATCGAGAAGGGCGACAAGCTCAGTGGTCCCCCCGACTACGATGGTGAAAAGACTGGCGTTGTTTCCAACGAGGAAGGGGAGAAGAAGCCCTCCAAGATTGGAACTCTCTACCGCCGTCACAAGTGGGCTGCCCACGCATTCTTCTTCTGCCTTTTCACCGGCTGGTGGATTGCTTCGCTCGTCCTGCACCGCAACGACAAGAACTGGGTTGTTCCGTTCCTCGTCTGGCTCGGCATCTCTCTTCGCATCCTCTTCTTTTACGTTCCGAGCTCCTACGTTTCCCGGCCGATCAAATTTGCATGGCAGCACAGCGCCGTGTTCATATACAACTTAATCCCTGCCAAGTTCCGTACCTTTGCTGGTGCTGCATTGACGCTCGCCGTAATGCTCGTTGGCTCGTTCGTCTCTGAAGAATCGGCCGACAACACTCGCGAGAACCGTGCGGTTTCCATCTTTGGTCTCGTCGTCATCCTGTTTGCGTTCTGGGCGACATCCAACAACCGCAGGCGTATCAACTGGCGTCCTGTTATTGGCGGCATGTTGTCACAGTACATCATCGCACTATTCGTCCTCCGTACTGGTGTTGGTTACGACATCTTCAAGTTCATTGCGGATCGTGCGGGCGACTTACTCGGTTTCGCCAACCAGGGAACCGCTTTCCTGACTGCCGAAAGCGTGATTGACCTTCACTGGTTCATCAGCGGAGTGATTCCCCCCATCATCTTCTTCGTGGCAATTGTCCAAGTCCTGTACTACGTTGGTTTCCTCCAGTGGTTCATTGGAAAGCTCGCGACCTTCGTGTTCTGGGCGCTCGAGGTGTCTGGTGCCGAGGCTGTCGTTGCCGCTGCCACTCCCTTCATTGGCCAGGGCGAGTCTGCCATGCTGGTCCGTCCCTTCGTCCCCCACATGACCAAGGCCGAAATCCACCAGATCATGACCTGTGGTTTCGCAACCATTTCTGGATCCACTCTTGTGGCATATATCAACCTGGGTCTCAACGCCCAGGCAATGGTATCGTCGTGCGTCATGTCAATTCCGGCCTCGATCGCCATCTCCAAGCTACGCTACCCCGAGAAGGAAGAAACTTTGACCGCTGGGAAAGTTGTCATCCCTGACGATGACGAGCACGAGGCGAAGAACGCCATGCACGCTTTCGCCAATGGTGCGTGGTTGGGTATCAAGATCGCCGGAACGATTGTTGCCTCGATTCTCTGCATCCTGGCTTTCATCGGTCTCGTTGATGGCCTGTTGACCTGGTGGGGAAGTTACCTAAACATTAACGACCCTGACCTGACTCTCAACCTCATCACTGGTTACCTTTTCTACCCGATTGCCTTTCTCCTGGGTGTTCCCCGTAATGGAGACTTGCTCAAAGTCGCCCGTCTGATCGCTATGAAGGTCATCGCCGTAAGTTCAAACCTCAATTTGCCTGCGTGCATATTGTGCCGTTCCCTTTCAGATACTGATTGTTGGCAGAACGAATATGTCGCCTTCTCTGCGATGAAGACGCCCGAGTACCTTGATCTTTCGCCTCGTTCTCAGCTCATTGCCACCTATGCCCTCTGCGGATTTGGCAATATCGGCTCTCTGGGTATTCAAATTGGTATCCTGGGTCAGCTGGCTCCGAGCCGTGGAGGTGATGTCAGTTCCATGGCCATCTCTGCTTTGATCTCTGGTGTCATGTCCACTTTGACCTCAGCCGCCGTTGCTGGTCTTGTTATTACTTCTCAGGCTTCTAATCTGGCCGCTGGAGCTTGATCGAGAGACCTGTGATGAGATGAAATGATCCTTCTGTGGAGTTACGAAAGAAATATTACTTGAAAAGGAAAAAGAAGACGCTGTACGATTTCGACAAAAGCGCATACTAGTTGCTCGGAAGGAGCAAAAATATCCGTCCCTAGTAGTAGTAGATAATAATATCCTTTCAGCAAATAAGCTGAGCATCTCGATCGGAGTACCAATTTTCGAACATCTTACTGGGGTGGGTGGCAGGGTATTCGGGATCGTCTACTAAATTTGACCGAGCCACGACGTGGTCACAGATTCGTTTTTGTGCGGATCACCTTGATTCTTGAGCAAGACTCTTATTTCAACTTAAATTTCCCTAGTCTGCCCCCGTCTAAATCCGACTTGTTTGTCCGCGACTTCCGCCGAGGGAGCCCCGGTCGCGTAGAGCATGGCCCTATTATTGGACCAAATGGGCAAGCGAAGAACTATCTGATAAGCAAGAGAGCCCAAAGTCCGCCGGTCTCCGGCGGGACTTGGCGCCAGCCGCGGCCACATTCTCAGCTACTGACGGTGAACAACCTCGTTATTGGCCTCAGGGTTGCAGTCCCATAATCACGCCCTGCAAAGAAACTGTTAGAGTACGGGAAGGTAAACAAGCGCTGGTCCAATAAGTAAGTGCTTTTGGCATTTAGATTTCGGTGGTCGACACCTTTTGCCAAAGTACTAATACCGTAGACACTGGTTAAATCGAATAACCGCTAGTGAGCAAGCTAACGGTAAGGGGTATCGTGGCCGCTGTAATGGGTATAGTGTGCTGGCAGAAGCAGGGGTCTAGAAGTGGCAAAAGCAGGGGTTAGTCATGTACGTCAGAAGCAAATTAGGTGGCAAGGGCTAGCAAACAGACTTTAAATTCGTATTAGCTTTCCTCCTATCCTTCTACATCTTGCTAGATCTCCTATGGCCTTGTTAAACTACCTTTAATAGCTTAATAGACGTCTTTAGCTAGAGATATATACTCTTAGTAGTCGTTATTTATATTATTATTAGATATCTCTTAGGCTACTTCCTTAATTTCCTTCTTTATATAGGCGTTATAGTTAAAGTTATCCTAACTATCCTATAATATCTTCTTATTTAGTATGTCCTTAATCTAAATCTTATTAATATCGCTCTTATCTAGATTAGTACTAATCCTATACTAAAGAAAGGATTACTAGACTATATTACCCCTTTTAGCTAGGTAATAGGTAGCTATTATAATAGTATAGGTAACTATAATACGTTTTATTAATATAGACCACTTAATAGGCTGGCTAGACTAGCTAGGCTAGATAGGTTAAATTAGCTAGATAGGCTTACTAGGCTAGCAGGCAGCAGCTTACTCTTTTTACTACATATATTTGTCTATTACTTTAGATAACTACTACTTAAAGGGTGTAAGGAAATAGAGACCTAGAGTACTTAAGCACGCTTCTGTCTTGTTCCTCTAACATTAGAGGAAGCAAGACTAGACCTTTTCGTCTAGTTAGTTGTTAACCAAGCAATTATCTTACAAAGGGCTTATTAATAGTAGTATCTAGAGGTTAAAAGAGGGAGGTTATACTAGGCAGTATAAGGCTAGAGGTAATATAATAAGAATAAAGTTATAATAGTATTATAGGGGTCTTATAAAAGGTAGTAATATTTATAACTAATAGATACTTTTACCTTACTATAAGAGGGAAGAATTTATTAGTTAGCTACTACCTAAGGAGGTATTTATTATTATAAGCTATATTATTATACTTAACTATTACCTTATTACTATATAAGTCACCTTTATGTACTATAAGGTAGCTACCTAGCTAGCTGTAAAAAATTAACTTAGGTGGCAGCTGTTAAATCCTATTAGTAAAGATATAAAGGATTAAAGTGGCTTACTGCTTACTCTAGCCACTATAGTCACTTTTACTAGCTATAGTACAGGCCCCTTAGGCTAACTAAGTTAATCTATTAAGGTATTTAAAAGGGATAGAGGTCTTATTAAAGTTAATAATACGGTTAGAGGGAAATTAGAGGCTGCTAATAGGCTAGCAGGCTAATAAAGGCTAACTAACCTACTAGTTAAAGTAAAAGAAGTTAGTAATAATTATAAGGTATTTAGTAAGTAACTTTAAGGCTTACTTTATAAGCTAGCAGTATAAAATACCTTATTATATATAAAAGCTAATAAACTAACCTATAGAGAATTAGAAGAGGTAGGTATAGGTTAGTAGGTTACTAGCTATAAAGGCGTTAGGGTATATAGCAGTAAAAAAGGCTTAGGCCTCCTGCTTAAACTATTAAGTAGTAATAACCTTATTATAGGCTTATTATTACTAAAAGTAGCTATAAAGTTTAGCCTCTATTTTAGGCCACTTTAGTTATCTATTATAACATATAGATATAGTTAGGTTAATAGTATCTTATTATTAGTACTACTAAATAACTATTATAAGGGGTATCTTAAAGTAGGTAGCAGCCTCTTAACAGGTTAGGCGGCAGAGGCCGTTAGCTAGGTTAAGATAGGTATTACTAGCCTATTACTGTTATAGTTACTTTAATAGATTAATTAGGTAGCAGTAGTGCTTAAGGTAAGTTAATACCTTTATTTTCTTTTACTAAGAATACAACTATTTAACCTATTAAATTAGCTTTATTAGTGTATATTATTACTTAACAATAGGCATAAGCGTTTTACCTATCTTCTTGCGTAACGGTAGTATATTTAGGTTAACTTCGCCTAGCGGCAGGCGGTCAGGCATTATAAATATCGTGGTGGGTTAATAGGTTAGTAAAGTTAACTATAGATGGGCTGGCTGGCAAGCAAATAGGTGGATAGGTAAGTGGGTGGATAGGTGGGTTGACCGCCTTCTATTTTAGGCTTAGCGTAGTGGATATACGCTAGCTAATATCAGCTAGCTCGTCCACTAGCGGTTATTCGATTTAACCAGTGTCTACGGTAGTGACTTAGAAAGATGTTGCAAAAACGACGCCGTTAATCGCAAGCAGCAATTAACGCCTTATGTACTACGACACACCCCCCTAGATCGCAGAGATCTATCTTTATAATCTGTCTGCCTATATAATCACTAGGTTAACAGGGAAGCTATTATAGCCACCCCCCTAGGCTCACTTTCTAAGACACTTTATATCTACTAGAGTTAAAACGCTCCCTGTCTATGGCTTGCGCAGGATTTAAACCTGTAGGGTCTATAACGCTTGAACGCTAAACTCTGGGGCTGGTGCTATTCTGGCACATAAGAGCGAACTAGGCTTATAACTGTTATAAAAACGACGCTGTTAATTATAAGCAGCAATTAACGCCTTATGTACTACGACAAAAGACTTGAACTATTGCAAATCGTGGGGACTTGGTCCTAATGCACTTGAAGCCGGTGATGCAAGCAGTGGGGCCGCCGATGTCAACATGCCACGGATCAGTCTGCAGTCGAAATCAGTGACTAGCGCAGCTGAGCCTGCTAGAAGCAGCACATCTATTAGAATCACTAGCTGTGTTATCTAATGAAGCGTAATATAGCAGCATTAGAATAAGATGATTCTGACGTCAAGAAAATTACAAGTGTTATCCTAAACACAGGAGAAAATCGCTACTCTATACCAAGGACAACGGCGACGAAATCATTTCCTAGCAATTAAATCACAGTGGTTTTAAAAACGGTAGCATAATGATGGGCATTTGAAAGAAATAATCAAGCGTTTCGATCACCGTAGAGTGCACCAGTTTAGATCTAACTTCTGATTATGTTTAGCTTACCGCTTAGCACTGAGAGATACACACACATGGACGGGTCCCACGATGAATTTGACTTGATACCTCTATAGCTTCCCAGCAAAGTCCGCAACTTCAATGTACAAAATAATGTCTGAAAATATTGTTAGTATAGACAGTAGAAAATGGACACAACCTCGCCGCATGCATACACATAATACGGCTCCGCATTGTTGCATGATAGCCTTCGTTTCTTTAATACCGTGAACAGAGAAAATCGAAACTAACAGCTCACATTTCAAAATGACCTAGCCCTTGTAGCTGCTTTCAGCTTGACGCTCTCTACGCAATTACAAGAGCGTCCTACCTCTAGAAAGTGACTGTTGGTATCACAGATGGGGTGACCTAGATCGTACCCTCTCGGCTGGGTGAAACAGCACACTCTTGATTGATGATATCTACAATTGCCTGAAGAAGGGAAAGCGGGGTAGAAGGTAGGAATCCACATATATATAAGTGGGTTATGCCCTCGGTATTCTAGTTGTTAACTTGTTACGGATGAGCAATGTCCCGGCATTCGGCACTGTTATCAGTGTCAGGAGGGTGGGTAGGGGCTCCACATAGCGTTGATGTCAAGAGACCATCGGCATGCACTCGGCAAGAGAAGTACCGTATACACTGGTTTAATCCGCCCACATCCACTTTGAAGGCTAACCGTACGGGATATAGCGGCCTTCTATCAGCTAAGCCTATCATAGTAGGCGGTCAATTAACCCACCCACCCATCCACCTACCCAGTCAGCCAAGCTTGCACCCAAACTTCCTGCTGACGTACGTGACTGCCCCTACTTTTGCCAGTATCTGATCTAGGTTTCTGCCAGTAAGCTAGACCGATTACAGCGTCCGCTATATCCATTACAGTTAGCCTATAAAGTGGATGTGGGCGGATTAAACCAGTGTATACGGTATTTGACCTTTCTCTTCGGCATTGATTTAAAGATCCTGGCGTGGCCCGGAAAAGCCTATATGAGAAACGAAGCAACCTCCCCTGGTTGAAAGTAGCAGTAATGGTAGGTAGCGCAGCGAACAAGAGCTTAGAGCATAGCATTTCTCCTTCTAAACCCTAATGACTTTGAGACAATTCTACCGCCTTCAGAAAAGTCCGAAGGTTTCGTATACCCAATACGCAGGAGTTGGTTGTCTCCGGTTCACCGCTTTGCCTGTGAAGTCGCCAATTCAGGTGACCCTTCGCGTCAGGTTCTTCTCCCGTGCTTCATCTCATGTGACGCTGTCTGACTCTTGCAGATAAGTCCCGCAATATACTGCGACACGTCGATCCTATCCAATCATGTTGCAAGATCGAGCTTCCTGGCCTGACGTTCCTGGATCTGCAAGGACCAACCTCAAACATGCTCGTCTGAACTCACACTGACCGGCATGCCGGTATCCAACATCATTGTGTAGATCATCGCTGCCCCACGTGGGCCTGGGTTCTCTTCTGCTTTATGACGGCAAATATAAAAGGAGACCAGGCCGTCGTGGACTTAGGATGTTATATGTCCCAAAGCATCCAAACGTCTCTCATTACCTCGCTAGCCGATTTCAATTCCCACCCAAGTTCTGTGAACTTTTTTTTGGCCTCTTGTTCCATTCTTTTTTCCAGCTCCGAGATACTCGAGTCCATTACCCATTCTTTTTAACAAGATGCATTCAAAGACCCTTCTTTTGGCTTTGCTTGGCGCCATGAGCGTCTCAGCTGCCTCTATCAGACGAGAGAACAACGGCGCCGATTTTGGCAAATGCACTCCGACTATGGACTTTAAACTTGGCCGTCCCGGGCGCAAGGCTAATGAGGGCACGTTTCTGCCCACGGATCCCCTTGTCAAGGGGGGGCAGCAGGATGCACTAAATCCGAACATCATTACGAATGAGATTTGCAATCAGCTTACCAACGTTTGTGGTGCGAACCAAGCCGCAAAGACCAAATGTCAGGATGCCAAGGCCAAGGTCGCGGCGGCGGGTGTCAAAGATGCGTCGGCTGCGACGATCTTCAACAGCGCCCTGGGCTTTTAACCAACAGCGCCAAGCTTTCTGTTTTACGTCTTCGCGACTCATGGGTGTCAGATGAATACCATGCACACCTGACTGGGACATGCACACCTGACGGAGACTAAACTATGGTCTTTCCTAGTTGGCCTCACCAGTAACTGGGTTTGAGCGCTTCTCTAGTTCAGAGACAAGGTGTGCATACATAGGGAGGCTGCCGATGGCAAGTTAGCGATTGACAGACACCATAGCGCTTCTACTCAATCTAATAATTGGCGCTATACTGTTCCTGTCGTGACACCGTGGTAACACGGCTTAAGAGTGATCGTTATGTAGCTTGAATTTAAGCTTATAGAAGCAGTAAGGAAAGGCAGCTGTCGCATTGTTCTCTTAAAGGTTTTACCTCCCGTTTTGTCATTGTTATTGCAGCCTTGTAGATGCAAGTTAGATGAATACAAGTACTAGCTACTGTATAGAATCTGTGTGATGCTATATAAGCCACAATCATCACACTGGAATCGTGGATCTACGTTTTACTTATTATTATAAAATCAGATAGAGAATTCGAAGAAGTCAGGCTTTTGTTATCTTGATGAATGATGACCAGCCTAGTGCTCTCATGAAAGGCATAAGTGTGGTTGACCCAAAGCTTGGTCCATATTTTCTACGCTTCGCAGTCCTATCTATTTGTAACGTTCACCTTAAAGCGATCTGTTTGTTCCAATTCTTTGATTGTCTCAACGAAGTCTATGAAGCAGGCTGTCTCCATGAGGCGCTTCCATTGCTGCGCGGCACTAACATACCGGCCCAACTTCTCCACATCTTCCACAAAAAGAAACCGGTTCAATACAACGGCTGGGTTAACTTCCTGGTTATAGTTGGATGAGTATTTGTTGGTATCACAGGGATTGCGATCGTAAAGCAGTAATAGTTTAATTGACTACTAGTTGCTTGTTTAGATAGATGATATGAAAAAGAAGAAGAAGTTGTTGCTGCGGATATTTATGGTGGTGTAAGTAAGCCGCTAGGGTAAGTCATGTAATAGTAAATTATGTAACTATAAATTAGCTCTACTATTAAATAGTTAAATATCCTAACACTAGTAACTTTCTAAAGTAAAAGAAAATTGCTATAAATAGCCTAGATACTGCCTAGTAGCTAAAAAGCTTAAAAACGTAATAAAAATTAAAAGCCTAAAAGTATTTAATACTTTTTGTTTATATAATTTATTATATAGCTTAAGAAACTTATCCCTTTATACTAATCTAAACTATCCTATTTCTAACTAGTTATTTTAGTGCCTTATTAGGTAATAATTTAGTAAATCTATTAGTAGGATTATTATTACCTTATATTTATTATACCTTATAGACCTTATATTACTTATATAACTACTAAAGGGCTATAATATTAATTATAAGCTTTTTCTTTTTTATAGTCTTAAGCTTAATAAGGTACTTATAAAGTAAGTATAAGTTAGTATAAAGGATTATTAGTATATATAGTAGCTTAAGGTAGTTAGTAATTATTATAATAGTTATACTAAGTATATAAGTAATATTAGTGCTAGTAACTATACTATAGATCTTAAAGGCTAGTACACTTTAGGTAACTTACTTATACTTTATTAAGCTAAAGTAAATAATATTACTAGTTATAGTAAATCTATTACCTATAGTAGTACTTATAGGTGCCTTATTAGTAAGAATAATAATAAATCCTAGCTATAAAGTAAAGTCCTTATTATTTATAAATAATTTATTTATAAAAATAAAAAGCTTTATAAATTTAAGGTTAAGTAAGTAAAATAACAGACTATAGTTAAGGTTATTTATTTACTATATAATATAATAATTAAGTGCCTTAATTTTATTTATATTAGGTAATTAGTGTTATACTATAATAGAGTAGTTAAAGTACGCTTTAGGCTAATAGACTAACGTAATATACGTACTATAGGCCTATTACTTAACGTACTACTTAAGTACTTATAGAGATTCTTTATTAATAAGTTAAAGTCTTTTGCCTTAGCCCTTTTATTAGAGAAGGAGCTTCCCTTTAGTAGTTAGAGATACTATACTACTATTAAAGGTAAGCAGGTTATTAATAGTAAGGATTTACTTCTTCTTAGTAGTAAATATAGCCTTAGTAAGCTTATTAGCCTTATAGGTAGAGAAGGATTTATTTAAAAAGATAATAATATTATTAGTCTATATACTAATAATCTTAAAGTCTAGGCTCTTTATATTAGTAATTAGTAAGTATAAATTAAAGGTTAAAGTCTTTATCTAGAGCTTTTCTTTATAGTAGTAACTATATGTTACCTACTAGTAAGTGCCTGCCTTTATAATACTATATAATAGCTTTACTACTTATATAATAGTGCCCTTTAGATAGAGTTTCTATATCTATAATAAAAGGTATATAAGAATTATATAATTTAATAAGGTAGTTAACTATATATACGCCTAGGTAATATTATATAACTAAAGTAAGAAATTATTATTATTATAGATAAGGGATAAAGTAAGAGTAAGAATAAGGCGCTAGCTAGCTTACTAGATTATAAGTAACTAAGTAAGAATTACTTTTTTACTATTATTAGTATATCTTTAGATAATAAAGTAGGATTTTTTATATAGTTTTTTATTTTAGCCTTTTACCTTATTAATAATCTATAATTTAAATATTTATACTTTAGTATACTTATTCTTATTATATTAAATAAAGTAAAATACCTTATAGGTAATAAGCCTTTTAATCTTAGTAGTAGTTACTTACTTAAAGGGCTTCCTTAGGGTAGTAATAATGCCTTTTTTCTATAGCTTAATTAATAATAGTTAGTTAGCTTCTTCTTTTATTAAGATATATACTATACTTATAGTAGTAAAGAAAGTAGTAGGCCTAATAGTAAAGCTAGTTTTATTAAAGAAATTAATATACCTCTATAGGTAGCTAGCTTTTTGCTTTAGCTATAGGTATATAGTAATAGTAATACTGTTATATATTTCTTTAGTAGGCGTAAGGTTATTAGTAGGTAATAAGGCTACTATACTATTATTATTATTCTCCTTATTACCTTACCTACTTACCTTAAAGAGTAGCTGTTATTACTTATTATAAGTATCTTTAAGGTATAGTTTAATAATAGTTAAATAAAAAGTTTATAGGCCTTAAGGGAGGTTAATAGTATAAGTAGTCTTACTACTAGTAATAAGGTAAAAGAGGCCTTACTAGCCTTTTTTTTTACGCTAGATATAGACTATAGATTAAAGTAGAAAAGCTACTATTATAATAGTATCTAGGCTATTATATATAGTTACTACCTTATTAACTTACCTTTTTATATAGATCTAGTAAATAGCCTTTATTATTTTTCTTACTACTTTAGCCTTTTTAAGTAGGGTTAGTAAAGGTAGTAATAAGTTAGAGATTTATAGGTAGGCGCTAAAGACTAGTAGTGTAGGTACTAGGCTATTTAGGCTAGCTATATTATTAATTACTTTAATAGCTAGCTAAAAGGTAACCTTAGGTGTATAGCCCTTACTATAAAGGATATTATATGCGCGTTAGAGGGGCGTGTAGTATCTTTTAACCTTACTAATACTATTATAGGCTTTAATTAGTATTTCTTTAATATTAATATAAAGTAACCTTACTAACTACTTAAATTTACTAGTATAAAAGTTTAGGCTAGTATTAGTAATAATCTAGTTAGGTAGGCTAAGGTAGATATTAATTTAGTATATCTAAAGTGCCTCTTATATATACTCTATAGTAATATTTTTAAGTAAATAGGCTGCTTAAAAAGATATTATAGTATTAACTATATATAAGGCTAGGTAGTTACTATTAAGGTAAATAATATTAATAATAATCTTATAGTTAAAGTTATATTTATTATTACGTAAAGTAAATTTAAAGTAACTAGGCGCCTTTATATTTATCTAGTAGTAGTAGTAGACCTTAGTTAATTTCTCTAAGGCTGTAATCTTAACTTTATTACTAGATTATTAGAGGACGTAATAAAGTCTTTAGACTAATAGGTAGCTAAAGTAATAATAAATTTACTATAACTTTATATCTATAAGATAGTAGTAAGTAATACTTTACTTATATTAATTAAGTAGTATTTATATATAGCCTTATTTATAAATAGTAAGTATAATAGTGTTACCTTAGATTAGCTTATTAGTAAGGTTATTAAATTTAATACTATACTAATCTATATCTATAAGGTAAAGTAGAAATAAGGTATTTAATAGTATTATATAAAAGGTTAGTATACTAAAGGGGGTTAGTACGTTAATTACTTTTTATAATTTAAAGTAGTTACTACTGCTAAAGCAGATTTTTACTTTACCTGCCTATAACTTATCTATAGCTAGATTTCTTTTTATTTAGTAGTAAAGGGTAAGATACTGCTTATATCTAGCTATTAAATATTTAGCTACGCTAGAGTTAGGTATAATACTATAAAATAAGATAAATAAATATTACTTATTAAGGGTAAAGACGTCTACGTTAGGTAGCTTATTATTATATAGATTCTTATATAGGGAGTTATTCTTTATAAGAAAATAGGTTATAGATTAGTTATATAGTAATAAAAAAAGAGTAGGCCTGTTAATAGTAGATAAGTTAAAGAACGTTATTAACATGTAAAACGTAGTGCCTAATTCTTTGTCTTTATTACTTTTTATGTGGTTACCTTCTTTATCTAAAGTAAATAGCTTATATCCCTTAAAGTTAGTTATAAAGTAGTTAAAGGCTTTAGGTAAAGAGTCTGTTAGATACTGCTTTTTATACTTATAGTAGGCTTATTACTTTTTATCTTTTAAGTGCCTTATTAACTAATAGTTAGGCTTACTATATATATAGCACTTTTTTATAAATAGTAATAAGGGTAAAAGAGGTGCTTATTACTATAGATTACTATTAAAAGGGCGCTGTAGCGTAAAGTATTAGAAGTAAGAATATCTCTAAGTATTCTTATACTTCTTTATCTTATATTTCCTCTATTATAG